GGGAAGTTTTTCACCTTTGTCAATTCAGGTAAGAAAAACAATGTAATACTTTTTAAATGCCATTAATATAAAGCAAGTATTGAAGTATTTCTAGCATAGTCAAAGCTTCACTTATTTACTGAGTAGTTTCCTACTGTCAAAAACCCAAAACAAGTGACCCACCAGGATACATACAGGATACATATGCTGTCTGGCATGCAAATACAATAATTAAGGGAATGTGGGCAGGAAGTCATATATCCTATGGATGTAACTATCTTAATTTATTTCAAGTAATGTTAGTATTGAACCTAGATCCAAAATAACTAGGGGTTGGTTGAAAGGGAAAAATTCAGAGTTAGAGAAACTTTGTCAGCTTTTCCAAGTTTTTGTTGCCTTCTAGATGTATTAGACTACAACTCCTACAAACATATCATCTTGGGATTATAGGAAAAGTAGTCCAGTATTTCAAGAGAATCTTTAGAGATAGATTCTTATTCTATGTATCATGCATTTTGTGACAAATCCTCTGCTTTCAATTTTCGAACTCTTTGCATATATCCTGTCCTAAGAGAGAGAGAGCTCAAATGTTAAGTCATTCCAATTTACTGGAGATATACACACATTTTCTTCAGAGAATTTGGGAGATTTTGCTTTTGAAAATTGTTCATTTCTGGTCCATCTTGCCCAGTCACACTACTTTTTTTGGGGGGGGGGGAGGAAAATAAATATATTACGAAACTGGCTTGAGAGCTCCGAGGTGCTGAGTTCTTCCCATCTGGAAAGAAGCCGATATTTTAACACTCAATGAAGGTGTTTTTTTTGGGGGGGGGGGACTATCTTCAGTTGCAGCAGCTCCCCCACCCACCCTCTTTCAGGGAGGTCCCCGCGATCCCCCTGCTCTCCCTCAAACCTGGCAAGGGAGACGGGACAGGAAAATTAACCCCACCGCGGGATGGTGCCTCCCACCTTCCCAGGGCAGAGCTGTCAGCCCCCAGCCGGGCAGGCGCTGGGGAAGCCCAGGGAGAGCTCTGAGCGCGGCGCCACCCCTTATTCCCCCCCCCCGCCTCACAATGACAAAAGACCGGAGGGGGGGAAACCCTCCCCCCACCCCCGGGCTGAGAGAAGACAGGAGGGAGACTCCCCTCCCTTCTTCCCCCTCCCCAGCTTCGTCCCCCTCAACGAACCGAACTTACAATGGTCTCCGCCATATCCTTGCCGCCGTTCCGACCCTCGTCCTGCCCCGGCTCCGGCAGCTCCGCCTCTTTCCCGCCCTCTCCGCTGCTCGTGCGCCGCCAATACTGCCGCGTCACCGTTCCCGCCCGGTAGCGCAGGAGAAGCAACAAGGTTCCGGGTAGAAAAGGTCCGCCCCGAAGAAGACGCACCTCTCTTTCCTTTCCTTTCCTTTCCTTTCCTTTCCCCATTCGCTGGCTCCGCCTAGTGGCTTCAGGTTTAATCCGAGAGAAAGAAAGAGAGAGAGAGAGAGAGTTTTTTCCCGGTGGGGTCCGTGCGGGAGGCGCGTCTCCATGCAAAAAGATTGGGAAGATAGCAGCCTAGTTCGTACCGCACAAAAAGCCGCAAAGACTTTGAGTCTGCGGTTAAGGAAAGCGAATCTCTCACTTGCCAAACTTTTACAATCCACAAAGTTGCTTCAAAGAAGGTGCCTGAGGTGGGTGCCGGCTGTAGAAAGTCAGCACCCACCCAGCCACCCACCCTCCTAGAGAATGAAATATTTTGAGGATATTATATTTCCCCAAAGGAGAAATGGAGCTTCCTGCATAGTAAAACAGCAGATGCAAGAAGTATTTAGAAATTTGATATTTGTGCCCATTAAGAAATCTATTCATAAACATTTTCAGCTCCAAGGTGTTGGGATTAAGAAGAACAGGGCAGGACATTTTCGGACATAATAGGATTAACCCACCATTATTTAGCAAAAGACACGAGCACCTTCATTGCACAACCCCCAGAACAGTTCAAACTTCAAAGTCACAGAAACCTATAAAGATCCATCCACTCATTCAACCATTTGGTGAGCTATCCCAGAACCTCACTGTGTGTGTGTTGGTTCAGCTCTCAATAAACAGAGTCTTTCCAATCAGCCTCCATGTTATTTCCAGCGCCTTTTTCTCAGCTTGGAACTGAACCAGATAGATTTTCTTTCCAACACTACTCTCTACTCAAAACTCATTGTTTACATGCTCATAATCTTACTTGAAATAATTAGTTGGGTCAAATTTGAATATCGAACTAAAAAGTTTTGCTTTTAGATTAACAGAGCTGGGAGGGACCTTGTAGGTCATCTAGTCCAACCCTCCCATCCAAGCAGGAGACCCTGCCTACACCATTTCTGATAGATAGCAGTCCAGTCTCTTATTGAAAGCTTCTAGTGATGAAGCTCCCACAATTTCTGAAAGCAAGCTGCTCCTTGGTTGATTGCTCTCACTCAGAAAAACGTCTCTTTATATCCATGTTGAATCTCTGCTTGTTCAGTTTCCATCCATTATTCCTTGTCTGGCCTTCAGGTGCCTTGAAAAATAATTTGACCCCCTCCTCTTTGTGGCAGCCCCTCAAATACTAGAACAATGCTATCATGTCTCCCCTGGTCCTTCTCTAGTCTTTCTTTGCTTTGACGTGGTTTGGTGAATAAGCTACAATCAAGCCAGACCATGTTTTGTCATATTATAGAGATCAATCTTTCCTTATAAGATTGTCAGAATTATGTATGAGTTATCTTACTAAGCCATATTATTTTTTCATTCTGTTATGATAAATGTATTTAGCTTTTTTAGCTTGCGACTGATTTATGAGTCATGTTTATGATTCAGGATGTAGTGTGAACCTAGCTAATACATAGTGTGTCAACAAACTATGATTAAGGCAAAAGGTTAATGTGTTGTATGAGCCTGGCTATTTTAATTTCAGATTTCTTGGATACTTTTAGCACTCTTTGAAAATGAAGTTATGTCATATCTAGATAGAATTGTTTTAAATTTAGATTGTTTTCCTCACGTGTGTTAAGAGTGAAATTGCTATATTAATAAGGGAAATATAAAGTCAACATTACTTTTTATTTGTGTATGGCTTGCTATACATATTTAGGTAAGCCATAGTATACTTGATCAGAAGCATTGTATAAAACACAAACATCATAAGCCATTGTTTGCAAATCATTATGGCTGAATTCACATTGTTTATTAAGCCCAAAATGAAAAAGGCCACATGTGATAGGTGAATGTTAATAACTATTATTGTAAGAAGAAACACTGATCAAAGCATGCATTTGCAACATACTTTCATTCTGACAAAAAATTGAATGTTGTTCCAAATCATTTTTCAAACTATTCTTTGGAACATTACAGTTATGATCTACAGTAATACCAATATGTTGTAACTGATTCATAAACCTGATAAAATTTCACTAAACAATTTTATAGCCATGGTATATAATATAGGCAACTCATATATTGCAATTGTAGTTGCAGACTAATTAAACTGATCTAGTTCCAGGTAAATGTGTTTGAATTATCCATTTGTATTGGTTCCTCTCTACAAAAGTTTAGCAGATTCAGGACTGTGTTTCTATACACACCTATCTGCAAATACTATATATGCCCTCTTGTGCATATCCCAAAACTTATCATTTTTAATGTACATGTCAATAGTAGGCAATCACAATGTATTGTATGCACTGCACATCATAATCTCCTGGATTTTGTAGGTATGGAGAAGGTTATCTTGGTTTTTGGTGATGCTGCATAGCCTTGTACATATTTAATCCAATACAGTATTTAGTTTAAAATTACTGTAATTGTAAGGTTTTTTAAAACCATGTTTTATATAATGCACCAGGAGTGTCAAACTCAAGGCCTGCGGCTGGATCCGGCCCACGGGGTGCTTAAATCTGGCCTGTGGGGCTAGCCTGGAAATAGCAAAGGACCGGCCCACGGTGCCACTGGCAGCCAAAACAGTGTGAAGGTGGAGCTACACGCAGCCCTCGGTGGCCCATTTTCAGCCTGGACGCCCTCCTACAGCACTTTGTGGGCCCAAACAGCACTTTGTGGGCCTGGGCGCCTTGTTTTGGTCCACAAAGTGCTGTAGGAGACCATCCAGGTCAAAAGCTTGGTGTGCGAGGGCTGCATGTGGCCCCATATGCCCCATTTTGTCCAGCAGAGTGTTGCAGGAGGCGTCCATCCCGTCTCCCATGACCCAGCCAGCTGGCCTGCAGAGGAAAACTACAATGCTTATCTGTCCCTCAAAGAAATCCAGTTTGACTTTGACACCCCCATAATATACCTCTTGATAATAGGATTAAAACATTATTATTACTTTAGAGATAGGAAACCAAGGGTAAGGGAGAATGGGTTCATTTCAACCATGGAGAAAATTTACAACCGAGTTTGGAAATTCCCATCTATATCCATATTTACTAAGTGGATTGAGGCCAGATACTCTACAATTTGTACACACTCACTTTTTGATATTAAATGTGCCTCTTGTTCACAATATACTTTTTATCTTGATATTTGTTATAGAAGGCCTTAATGCAACAGCAATCCCACATTTTTGTACATCTCTGGGTATATAATTATAAAGGTCATGCAAAGTATTGAAATGTATGTGAAATAATTGGAAGAAGCTTTTCAAATAACATAGGCTTGGGAGCTTTGCAAAAGATACATCTGCTTTAAAGATTGAAAGAAAGGTGTTTTATTTGTACTCTTATGCATTATAAACCTTAACTATCCCATCGGAATGTTTTACACAGACTTAATAGTTATACAGTACTATGCACTCAGCTGACAGGCATAATGATATACTACTGTTTAATGAATATACTTACAGCAAGTGAGACAAAGCAAGTCTTTTTAAGCTGAGAAATGTGATTTCTCACATGATGCAAGTATGACTTTGGTAGGTTTACTCCAAAATTCTCCTCATACATGAATGTTGGACTGTTATCTGGCTACTCCAAAGAGCTGCAGAACCATTTCAAATCCATTTCATGCTTTACATTAAATATGAAGAAATCAATTACAATTGTGAATTCTTTCTTGAAATATCTTTACTTTCCGAGCACCAAGATGGGAGAAGATGAAATAAAAGCTTTGCTATCAAAGGTAATAACAAGGATTTATGTTACATGTTGGCCTTGTTTCAGCTTTTATCCAAGAAGATCTTGAGTCTTTGTTCTTGGCATATGATGCTACTTTTCAGTTGTGTTTGTTTCTTAACTGGGAGATTATTAATTCTTTGTTGTCTAAGAAGCAGATGTAAGAAAGTATGACAAATGCTTCAGAGTTGTCAACTCTCTAATCCATCCTGCAGCAATCTCCAATAAGAAATAGTATTAATAACTGTAAACAAGCATATTTATTAAAAGTAAAATCCCAGGGAATTTTATGTCACTTTTTTCAGATAAATATGCTGAATTATCTTAGCTATCTCACAAGTGCCCCTTAAAAACGATCAAGGTTTTGGCTTTGATTATTTTAGTAACTTTTCAAATTAAAAATAGTTCTTTGCTGACAAAGAGGTATTTTCAGTCCCACTTTATGTTTATTGCTCCTGGCAATGTTACTTTTGCTGTATTCCACATTTATCTATACAAGTGTCAACCTGACCACCACTTTTTCATATTGTATCTCTTCAATTATTTAAAATGGTTCCTTTTTCAGTTTAGATTGTATCTTACTGTATCAATATCTTTTGCTCTTGTCCATGACTTTGCGGGGGGGCATTTGCTGAATGAAATTAGGTAGCCAGAGGAAATACAATACTAATCAAAACTAAAATCAAATGTGTACATACCTTTTCTAGTTAAACAATTCCAGAAGGCTTTCTGGGTGCTGATATACAGCTGTGTATTCCTCTGTGTGCCCCAAGCAAGGCAACAGAGCCATGCTTTCACGGCATTCTGGAAGGCCAGGAGGGTGACAGTCCACCCAATTCTGAGGGGAGAATGTTCCACAGGGCAGAGGAAATGGCAGAGAAGTCTCTCTTTCTGGACCCCGCCAGTCAGTCTTCTTTAACTAATGGGGTGTACAACATACGTTTCCTGTCTAACCAGGTGGGATGGACTGATGTAATGAGACAAAGATGGTTTCTCATTATAAAAAGATCCGGTTCTATTTTCTGTGGATTACATAGACACAGTTCATTCCTATCACACTGTGTAGTTAATCTCACCAGGGCAAGAGTCTTTCACATCCTACCAAGAGTGGTCACTCTTGATTAACAAATTAGCATTGTCAGTACTTCCAACCACTGATATATTTAGGCTCCTTTCTCAGAATAATAGTCTATATGTCGGATAATAGGTTGACATCCATAAAGGTGTATGTCCATTCTTTTAAATATGCAAAATGCTAGAAATTAGTTTTTTATGTAAATGATTCCAGAAAAAATGGTTGAGGGAGGTATTATAAGTACTTTTCTGCCTTCTGCACAGAGGTGGATTTGAAGCTGTACAGATGCAGATAGATAACTCAACAAGACGTCCATAACAAATTACATTTATTGGTTCATCAGGTATCCTCATAACTCACGTTTGTGATGAAGTTCTTCTTTAATGACCAATCCTTTGTATATCTGCCTTGTAGTAAAAGATGGTTATCTCCTAACCCATCTCGTAGCAATAGAAAGAAGCTGCCATGAGAGTTCAGGCAAAAAGTGAGGAAAACTTCCCCCAACCCTTTGAGGGTCAATTTAGTGACCAATCAGGATCACAAATGTGGCCACATGACATGAACTACATTTCCCAGGATACCTTTAACTACATTTACCATGATGCATTCCCTTAAGGGGACAGCTCATAATTCCTAAGTAACTATCCAATTCCCATAGACTGGCTGGGACAGCACCAGTACCTTATTAAAATTATTGCATTCTTTCACATATTTTTTTCCTTAGGGTTATATCATATTCCATCTAGAGTCGTTAAAGCAGGCAGTGTACAAAAGTACATAAGTAACACTGGAAATCAGAAATCAATATACTGGTACATAGAAGGTCTATGCCTCTTCTATCGAACAATAGAGTATGAGAAGAAAAATCATTGCCTTCAGTATACAGGTAGTCCTCAACCTGTAAGCACAATTGAGCATGAAATTTCTGTTAGTCTCAGACATTTATTAAGTGAGTTTTTCCTCATTTTATGTTGTTTCTTGCCACTTGTTAATTTAGTAATGACTGTTAAGTGAATCTGGCTTTCCCATTGACTTTACTTCTCAGAAGGTCGCAAGAGGTGATTACATGACCCTGGCAACTGTCATTAATATGAAACTGTTGCCAAGCATCTGAATTTTGATCATGTGACCATGGGGATGCTCCAATGGTCATAAGTGTGAAAAATGGTCATAACTCTTTTCAATGCTGTTGTAATTTTGATCAGTAACTAAAACAAACTGTTGTAAATCAATGACTACCTCTATGTTGATTACACTCAGTTACACAATTACACTCAGTTTTGGCCATAGTAGCTAGGATTAAAGCCATACTCAAATCAGAAAACATCTGTATGGCCATAGTTTCCTCATCCATGCCATAGATTCCAGATGTATTGAAAGGTATACTTAATGCCATGAGGTCCCAAACATCTTGGATGCTATAATCTAATGGCATAGAGGAATGAATCTTCTTGTTGTTTTTAATAATCCAGTCATATTGTAAAAATGTTAAATTTTAAAAACTGACACAAAAATATTTCAGAGTTATGTATTGCCTTTCAAATGCTGTAGGGAAAATGCATTTTCTATCTTACTTTGTTTCCTATTTCTGATATATAATTCGCATTCTCTGATTCTCTTCTATGTTGATTAGAATGATCACAAGTACTATTCATACAAGGCACAAGGCACACCTCTGAGCCCTGATGGACAAGAAAGTGGTTGTTCTTGGAATCCGACAAGACAATGGTACCTCCTTCATCAGTCTTCCCATCTTCCTCTGGATTCATTTAGCCACTGTGCTAAATGCTTGACCTTTACTTGGAACACAATTTTCTCCATTATAGGATTATTCATTTTGGCTATAGGAATTTGGGGGCTCTCAGAGAAGGAATCCCTGGAAAGTGAACGAATAACCTATTTGGGCAGTGACCCCATGCTTTTTTTTGTGTTAGTGGGGCTAGTAGCTACGTCTATATCTCTTTTGGGCTGTACAGGAGCCCTCTTTGAAAGCACCTTTCTTCTGAAGCTTTTTACTGGAGGAATAATGTTTTCTTTGGTTTTGGAAGTTTTGAGTGGAATTGTTGTCTTTTCTCTGAGACAACACATAAAGACTTCCTTGCAAAATTTTCTTATGGTGGCAATGTTACAGTATCAGGATGACCTAGATCTCCAGTTCATTATGGATGAAATTCAAGCAGGCCTCCAATGCTGTGGAGTAAAGTCTTATCTGGACTGGAAAGCAAATTTGTGAGTAAAATTTTTGGCCTATCTATCCGTTTCCATGAAAGATAGGTGTGCCAAAGCAGTGGAATATAACTTTAATCCTGGGAGAACATGACAGTCTATAAATATGATTGGACGGATGGAAGGATGGATGGATGGAGGGGGGGGGGGGGGGGGAGAGAGAGAGGGAGAGAGAGAGAATATTGTAGCACTAAAATCTTACATTTGTTCAATGTAATGTTGTCACTGGAATTTTGCTGCCAAAGGGTTGTCTCACACCAAAGTAAGCTTTGTATCAATAATATGAGTGAATGGATAGTTCTATTTCCTGTATGATTCCAGGAGTGCTTCTATATGTTTCCATCCAGAAACAATGCAAGGTATTTTATTGTTTCTGGATGGAAATATGAAGGGAGCATTCCTGTAGAATTAAAATAAGCAGTACTGTGCATTATGATGAAAAGTATCTGTCAGAACCTGTTAGTCTTATTCTCCAACATTAGGCATGGTATTTCCCCACATACGTTAAATTATGATGTCCATCCTCTCTGATCATGCCCACAAGAACTTGAATCCTATACACTATTGGTAAGTTTGCAGGTTACTCACCTCATCCTTAATTTGGTTTGACTGAGACAGGAATCTCTTTCTTGCCTCTTCATATGAAGCATCATCTTATATAATAGCACAAGATAAGTTGTTATTGTCTTCCTGTTAAATATGCTATGAGCAGTCTTCATTTTCATTACTCATAAAGGTATTCCCATGTATCTCTCCTGTTGCCTTCTTTGACATTCTTTTTTACTGAGATGCTTAAAATAATCCTGATAAAGGACAGTGTGATAATAATGACTGCCTCTTTTGCTTTAGCAATATTCCCTCCATTTTTTCTTGGAGCAGAATAGTTCATCAAGCCTCTCTAGGCTTTTTTGGTTTAGGTATTATCTCTGATTACAGTAATAGTAGAAATAAACAGTTTTCATTGAGAAAGCTTTATATAAGATCTGTAAACACATTCTTGGCCCAGTCATCTTCAACAACCTCAGCTGCCTGTTCAGCACAGGAGGGTGGAGATTAAATTCAGTCTATTTCACTATCTCAAGAACTCAGGTCATGTTATCAGAACTGGATCTTGTCAGTTTGGAAACCAAACATAAATAGATATCTCAAGGAACATTATCCTTTTGTCACATAGGTGATAGGTAAAATTAGTTTCAGCCCATTCAAAGTTTTTATAGTTAGGACTTTAGACCTAAGCTGATTCCTTAGAAGAGATTACAGTTGTACTTACTGCTCCTTGAGTAACTGCAGGAGGCTTGAGTCCTAGCAAGCAGTCTTAATGGCTGATTTTATGAACTATCCATTAGATGAAGAGGGAAAAAGGTAAACTGACATACGGATAGAATCCTGCATGATTTGTGCTAGAATCTCAAGATTTTCTGAATCCCAGTAGCAATGGGGGGCGGGGTTTCTTGTTGTTGCATATATAGATCTTGAACCAATGAATTCACAGATAGATTGGCCATGGGATCTGGTTTATATTGGGAGGATGAAGTAGATACTGGAAAAACCTGAGATATACACTTTGGGATGAACTTAAGAATGAAACATTTCTTCCTTTTTTTTTTATCTTACAGGTATTTTAACTGCACTTCTCCAGGTGTGCAAGCCTGTGGCGTTCCTGCATCATGTTGTGTGAATCCACTAGAAAATGGTACCATCCTGAATTCTCAGTGTGGCTTTGGCACCCTAGGCATGGAGGAGTTTGCAGTTCAAAGCACCATCTATCTTGGAGGCTGTGTTCCCCAGTTAAACAGATGGCTCAATAGTCACGCAGGAACAATAGGCTTCTTTGCTGTAGTTTTGGTTGTGATTGAAGTAGGTAGCTTGTTTCTGGCCATTAAGCTCCTGGCAGGCATTGCTTCTGCTCGGACTCAACATTATAGCAATAGCACTTAGAGTTGTAAAGAAGACTTCACAGTGCTTTTATAGCCTTCTCTAAGCGGTTTAGAGTCAGCCTATTGCCCCCAACAATCTAGGTCATTTTACCCACCTCGGAAGGATGGAAGGCTGAGTCAACCTTGAGCCTGGTGAGATTCGCACTGTCAAATTGCAGGCAGCTGGCAGGCAGCAGAAGTAGCCTGCAGTATTGCATTCTAACCACTGTGCCACTATGGCCTTTATAGTGGGAAGGAGGGCATGCATTAGCTCTCCTATTTTTAGAGATGGATGTATTCATACTCTTTTGAGGAACATAAATCTAAAGTATTATGTAATACCTTTTATACTAATTAATTTACCCAGGATAAAACGGATAGGGAAAAAAACAACAAAAGCTGGTTTTTATATGTATTTATCTTGCTCATTCTCCTAGTTCCCTGTTTTCTGATAATTCCTGCTACCTCTTCACTCTGTACATACTTGTAAACATAGTCAGAAAAAGAGAAATAATGTATCAGAAGACCTTTACACCCAGGCCACTTCCCCTATAAATCTAGCAACTAATTATTCATAGTCATTTCATAAAGCCATTCATTTCTGATTTTGATATGGAACTACTTCCAATCCAGATACAGGTTTCCAAAACAAGAAGCAAAAAATAGGAACACTTTGTTCCTTCTGATACTTTCTCACACTTTTCTGAAAGTACAGTAATTCAGAGTTGCATATTGTAGCCGATCTCCATTAATGAGATATGCAAAAGGCACCAATGCCACTACTTTGTTGCATGCTCACGTTCAGAATACAAAACACAGTAACAAGAGACCTTGGAGGACTTCTAGTCTAATCCCCTGCTCAAGCAGGAGCCCCTATACCATACTGGACAAACAGCTGTCCAATCTCTTCTTAAAACCTCCAGTGTTAAGAGCACCCATGACGCCTAGAGGCAACACTTTCCATTGATTAATTGTTCTCACTGTATGGAAATTTCTCCTTATTTCTAGGTTGGTTCTTTCCTTGATAAGTTTCCATCCACTGCTTCTTGTCCTGCCCTTAGCTTGGAGAAGAGCTTGACTCCATTTTCTTTGTGACAGCCCATTAAATTTTGGAAGACTGCTATCATGTCACCCCTGGTCCTTCTGTTCATTAGATTAGACATATCTAGTTCCTGAAAACGTTCATCGTACGGTTTAGCCTACATCCTCCTAATCATCCTTTTCTTTTCTGCCCATTTAGAGTCTCAACATCTTTTTTGTATCGTGATGACCAAAACTATTGTATTCCAAGTGTGATCTTACCAAAGATGAGCTTTCCAAAGACACTTATATTGCCCGATATAATATTTTCCTCATATGCTTCATTTCAGTCCTGGTTGTAAATAGTTTTGGTTCATTAATTATATATAATGCTTTCTTTCTTAAATCTCTTCTGTGCCATATTTTAATGTCTATAATCAACAATTTTGACCCATAGAATTAAATGCATCAATTGTTACATAGCAACAGTATAGACAACCCTTCTAAAATTTAATGGCTTTATGTGTGGTGGAGAAATTGAGGTTTGAATCCTGTATTCATTTATCTAGAAGTAAATTTATCTGGAATTCATTGAAAGTATGTCTGCTCCACTAAAAATGAAGTTTCATTTAAATAAATATCTATCTCATCCAACACTTTATTCTGTTTATTCTTGTTGAAAGTTTCCTCTCCAGGATTATACAGGAGCAGCACATTAATATTTTCAATATTTTTATTTTGTCAAATTTAAATTTGTAATTGTTGAGATTTCTTTTAAATCTTAAAGGTTCACCACTGCAGTCCATCTCCTGGACCTTCAATTATTGGCAACTTACCTAAGCAAGAAATATTACAGTAGTTTTCAATTAGGTCAGCTACTGCTCACAATTGTTATGATCCAAAAGACAGATCAGAAGGAAGGAGGACCAGTTTGGTTTAGTGGTTAAGATACCAGGCTAGAAATTAGGAAACTGATAGTTCTAGTCCCATTTTAGGCATGAAAGCCAGCTGGATGATTTTGGGTCAGTCACTCTCTCTCAACTCATGATGTCAGGCTCAGACAACGAACAATGAATTCCTGTTGCAACCAATGGACATTCAGATGATCCAGAAAAAAGTGGGGACCCTGCACATGTGGGGAAAAAAACACTAGGATTAAAAAAAAAGATTAGAAGGAAATGATGGACTTGTAAAATGTGGGGCTTACTGTGTATAAAATGAAGTGATTTCTCTGGTTCATTGTGATTTTTTTTTTTTTTTTGCAAATGTTTAATTGGAGGGGAAAAAATCCTTGCAGGAACAATAATAAGAGACCAAGCCTAAGATTTATTTACTTGGATTTTATTTTAGTGAGCAACTGTTATAGGACCCAACAGGCTACTACTGGGAAAGTGAATTTGCAGGGATAACGTGGATGCTCACGAACTGTTCTTGCTTGCTGAATGAAAGGCATATATCCAGCCTGTTTCTGGCTTCTATGTCATCAAATGATACCATACTGTGCCAGTTCATGGAGTTCCAGGTGGCTGAAAGCTTCCCAAGGACAGATCACGGTGATATCTGAAAGAGAGCAAAGTCCACATCAGTTCAACCCTCATTACATCTTGCCAGCATTAACGTTCTGATGATTTGAAGATGTCTTCAAAGTGCATAAGGTGTTTGAAAAATCAGATAGTGGAATGGGATCGTGATCCGTCTTTGAATCCTTTGGAATGGTACTGAGGGCTACAGTCACCTTATTGCCAACTGATCGAAGTACCAATGCAGATGTTACATACATGTGGCAATTCAATACTTCCATACAGCCATTCAAAAGGATGGAGGACCAAATGGGCTACAGCAGTTATCCCCAGCCAAATAAATAAGGACATTTTAGAAAGCAGATAGACTGATTCGGACCAGTGGTGGGATTCTTTTTTTTTCTACTACCGGTTCTGTGGCCATGGCTTGGTGGGCGTGGCAGGGGAAGGAGACTGTAAAATCTCCAGTCAGAGGTGGTATTTGCCGGTTCTCCGAACTACTCAAAATTTCTGCTACCGGTTCTCCAGAACTGGTCAGAACCTGCTGAATACCACCTCTTGAAGATGCAGACTTTGTTCATGAGACTTTGTTCATGTGCATTGAAGCTTAAGATGTAATTTATGGTTACTGTGTAGCATAAAACCCAGCTGCAAACGAAGTACGTTTATAGGAATTTATGAGAGGAAAAGGATAACAGAGGTATTTGCGCCCCTGATAGCATTTTTTGGAATAGGATGTTTATAGTATTCCTAGGCCTACACAATGCTTTCAATCCAGCTTTCAAAAGATATTTAAGCACGCAAAAGCACAAATACAGCACTTGTTGGGCTGTAACAAGGTGTTCAGAGAGGTGCCACTTTCACACTCTCACACATGCCAAAACAGCTTTTGGAGCACTGTTTGTCTCTATATTGCAAAATACAAATCATACTTCAGCATGATGTCTGGCCCTTTACACTGGTACAAATAAAAAGTTTGATAAAAAAAAAAAGATGTGCCACATGCAGCTTAGTGCTGTTAGACTTTATCCGGGTGGATCTTCTGCACTAGGTACATACATTCTTTCTGCCAAAACTCATGATTGTCTGATAATCAATAGTAAAAGCATGTCAAATACTTTTTGAAGCCGTTTACTTCCCTGTCCCTCTTTCTGATGTGCCCCTGAAGCCAATTTCTATGCAAGAACCACTTGCACTTGGATAAATATGATACTCCTGTTGCAATCCTGGATGGAAAAAAAAAACTCTAGAGAAGAAAATATGAGGACACCCATGAAAGCAATCTGGCTGAAACTTTCCTTTTTGCACCTGCTGGTCTGGAAATGCTACCAATGGATACAAATCAGCTAAGAGGAGTTGGTGGAATTGTGTTGGCTCTGACCAGATTTGCCTACTAAATAGTAATTCCCTGGTTTTTTGGAGCAGGTTCTAGGGTTGATCCTTCCTAAAACAAATTGATAAATATCTGTTGTGGATTATATTCCTATTATGCAGGAACGCTCGTTACAGAAAAGAACAGAAATGTAACTACCAAAATATAGTAATGGAATAAAATTACAGGCACAAGGAATGCACAGTTTACTGAAGGAATTCAGTAAATTTAGACAAAGGAAGCAAGCCTCTAACATTATAAATGTTTCAATGTCAGTTGCCACATTGCCCAAAATATCCCATCTGTGGCTGAAAACAGCTGGACCTGCCCATAAGCAATGCCGAGAAAGATAAAACTGCAAGGAACCTGCAGGAGCCTGACTTTCTCACTTCAGAACACTTCAGTTAATGTCATCAATCAATCCTTCATACCTGTTCCCAAGCCTTCCATACCGGGAATGTCATCACCAAACCTGCAAAAAAAAAAAAAAGAGAGAGAGAGAGAGAGAGAGAGAAGAAACTGTTTTCCTAAAAAGTTGGCTTCCACGCACAATAACATCATGGAAACATTACCTCTTTATTCAGTTGCACATAGGTTGGGTGATTTAAAAAAAAACTTTTCTTTTTGACAGAAGAGATTGATAGAAATAATGTAAAGGAGTTCAGCAACTGGTCTGCAGCTATACTGCAGGGAAACACCCATATAGATATCTAAGCAATGTAGTTAGTCACTACATGGAATAACAGAGTTGGAAGGGACCTTGGAGGTCATCTAGTCCAACCCCCTGCTTGAGCAGGAGGGTCTATTCCAAATATTAGCCTCTACCTAGGATTGAACTCACAGCCTCCTGATTGTGAGGTGAGAGCTTCACCTCTAGGCCACTGCACTGGATCCTTCATTTATGACCACAATTGAACCCAAATTTTCCATTGCTAAGCAAGACTGTTGTTTAAGTGAGCTTTATCCCATTTTATGACCTTTTTTGGCACAGTTACTAAACAAAATCACTGAAGTTGTTAAATGAATCATAAGGTCATTAAGCAAATCTGGCTTCCCTATTGACTTCGCTTGTCACAAGCTGGCTGGGAAGGTTACAAATAGTGACAGTGCAACTGTCATGAATACATGCCACTTGCCAAGCGCCCAAGTGTTGATCATGTGACTGTGATGATGCTGCAACTGTGATGATGCTGCAACAGTGTGAAAACTGGTCATAAGTCACTTTTTTTAGTATTGTTGTAACTTCGAACACTTATTAAATGAATGGTTAAAAGTCAAGGTCTATCTGTATTTGTTTCTTTTCTATCCCACTTTACCCAATGCAATTGAACGACAGTTGTGGTTATGGCCCTGGAAGTCACACTGTGGCTTTGAAGGGCCAGTTGGGGCTGGGACTCAAGTTGGGTGGCTTTGATTTAAAAGAAAGTGAACTCCCTTCTTCCTGCAAAGTAACACTTTGTATCTCACCCTTGAACACCTTTCTTTGGTGGCTTGCTCTTGAACTGCCTGGTTTGTCTCTGTTTGAATTTGGGAGGGCCTTTCCTGGGAGTGACAGGCCCCCCAGTCACCCTGGTGGCAGATTTGAATTCTGGCTTTGGAGCTTCGAGGTTCATGGCTAGGATGAAAGAATGTCCCTTTTGAACAAAAGCCCTCCTGATTCGGGTGGGTTAATCTGTTAGAAAAGAAAAATGAAAAATAATTGGAGTCTATCATTAGATGCAGTTGAAATATGTCACCTATAAACTCTGTTTGCATCTCCTCAAGGAAGATATTGTTAGAAGGCAAATCCACTTAAACATTAGAAAATGTTTCTAAACAGTAAGAGCAAATCAACTGACAGGCAATGGGTGTCATTCATTCATTCATTGGATGTGTTGAAGGAGAAACCAAGCAACTATCCATCTGGGATGTTTTCAATTGGATATCTGTACTAATCGGAGGGTTGGACTCAAGGACCTCAATGGACCCTTGCAGCTCTATGATTCTGAAGACCTGGACAAAAGAAATAAACAGAATTCATTTCATATACTATGTGGGCACCCAGCCATGCAGTAAGGTTATGAAATGAAATAACAATTGATTGCATAATCCTCCCCACTTCGTAGGATCTGTCCCTTGCAGGTGATGTACTGACTGTTCATCATTATGTGACTAGGAAGGGTTGATGTACATACTTGAGTTGGGGTCTATTTATGCAACTATTGATGCTGAAGTACCAGTTCTTCTGAAAACCCTAAATTTTCAGAGCCAACCAGAAAAATCAGGCTGCGATCCATAAAATATTTGGTTTCCTTTCTTGGCAATGTTAAGATCTGGTTTGGTCGAGCATTTTCCTGTTGCACTGCGATCACTTAATGCTTTGTTTCCATATCCATCACCAGAAATGAGTCCGAGGGGAACAACGCAGTACGATACTACAGTAGAAGAATATTTCACCAGAGCCCTATGCTAAACTTGTTGCTGATAATCACTGTGCAGACAGACCACTTGCCAGGCACAATACTGGCAGCAGACCAGTGTGTGTGTGTGTGTGTGCATGCTATTGGGCATCATTCTGCAGGAAGTCTGGGTTTAATAAACCCTTGCATTTGCTTTGGTGCAGAGACACTGATCAACTGATCTAGGGGTTTTACTTTGGGCAATTCTGCACTGGTTATTGGCTGCCGCGCAGATAGAACAATGGGATAAAACAACATTAGTCTCATCCAGGGTGACACTTCTCAGATTCATATTCAAATCCCTGAAAAGATGCTAATCTGATTAGAGTGCTCCACCCCCACCCACCCCGCCAAGTAGTTTTAGGCTTGTTCCCAGGATGGAAAAGGATTTTCATGGTTTGTTTCATCAGCTCTTACTAATTTTCTCAAAGCTGTTCTATCACCCATCTTGATAAATTCAGCTCTGCAAGAGCAAGGTTATCTTTTCAGGGTAAAATGCTAGAAATCATGGATTCCACAATTCAGCTGGCAACTCCGTTCGGAAGAATTTGCCTTCTGTCCCCCATTTTCTATGGGCTAAGAACAAAGCTACATAAATATATATACAAAA